ACGAAAAGAAATGAAGAAAAAAAAAAAGAAAGAAAGAAAGAAAAATATTAGGCATCAGACGAAAAGAAATAGAAAAAAGAAGAAAGAAAAATATTAGGTATCAGACGAAAAGAAATGAAGAAAAAAGAAAAAGAAAAGAAAAAGAAAGAAAATATTAGGTATCAGACGAAAGAAATGAAGAAAAGAAAAAGAAAAGAAAGAAAGAAAAATATTAGGTATCAGACGAAAAGAATGAAGAAAAAGAAAAAGAAAGAGAAAGAAAGAATATTTAGGTATCAAACGAAAAGAAATGAAGAAACAGAAAAAGAAAAGAGAAGAAAAATATTAGGCATCAGACGAAAGAAATAAGAAAAAGAAAGAAAGAAAAATATTAGGTAATCAGACGAAAAGAAATGAAGAAAGAAAAAAAAGAAAAAGAAAGAAAAATGATTAGGTATCAGACGAAAAGAAATGAAGAAAAAGAAAAAGAAAAGAAAGAAAGAAAAATATTAGGCATCAGACGAAAAAGAAATAAGAACGAAAAAAGAAAGAAAGAAGAAAAATATTAGGTATCAGACGAAAAGAAATAAAATATTAGAAAAGAAAGAAAGAAAAAAATATTTAGGTATCAGACGAAAAGAAATTGAAGAAAAAGAAAAAAAGAAAAGAAAGAAAATATTAGGTATCAGACGAAAAGAAATGAAGAAAAAAAAAAAGAAAGAAAGAAAAATATTAGGTATCAGACGAAAAGAAATGAAAGAAAGAAAAAAAAGAAAAGAAAGAAAAATATTAGGTATCAGACGAGAAATGAAGAAAAGAAAAAAGAAAAGAAGAAAGAAAATATTAGGTATCAGACGAAGAAATGAAGAAAAAGAAAAGAAGAAGAAAGAAAGAAAATATTAGGTATCAGACGAAAAGAAATGAAGAAAAGAAAGAAAGAAAAATATTAGGTATCAGACGAAAAGAAGAAAAGAAAAAAAGAAAAAGAAAGAAAGAAAAATATTAGGTATCAGACAAAAGAAATGAAGAAAAAAGAAAAAAGAAAAAGAAAGAAAGAAAAATATTAGGTATCAGACGAAAAGAAATGAAGAAGAAAAAAGAAAAGAAGAAAGAAAAAATATTAGGTATCAGAGAACGAAAGAAATGAAGAAAAAGAAAAAAGAAGAAAGAAAAATATTAGGTATCAGACGAAAAGAAATGAAGAAAAAGAAAAAGAAAGAAAGAAGAGAAAAATTTAGGTTAGACAGAAAAGAATGAAGAAAAGAAAAAAGAAAGAAAGAAAAATATTTAGGTATCAGACGAAAGAATGAAGAAAAAGAAAAAGAAAAAAGAAAAATATTAGGTATCAAGACGAAAAGAAATGAAGAAAAAGAAAAAGAAAGAAGAAAATATTAGGTATAGACGAAAAGAAATAAGAAAGAAAGAAAAGAAAATATTTGGTATCCGAAAAAATGAAATGAGAAAAAGAAAAAAGAAAGAAAGAAAAATATTAGGTATCAGACGAAAAGAAATGAAGAAAAAGAAAGAAAGAAAAATAGAATCAGACGAAAAGAATGAAGAAGAAAAAAAGAAAGAAAGAAAAAAATATTAGGTATCAGACGAAAAAAATGAAGAAAAGAAAAAAGAAAGAAAGAAAGAAAAATATTTGGTATCAGACGAAAAGAAAATGAAGAAAAAAGAAAAAAGAAGAAGAAAGAAAGAAAAATATTAGGTATAGACGAAAGAAATGAAAGAAAAGAAAAAAGAAAAGAAGAAAGAAAAATATTAGGTATAGACGAAAGAAATGAATGAAAAGAAAAGAAAGAAAAATATTAGGTATCAACGAAAGAAAATGAAGAAAAGAAAAAGAAAGAGAAAGAAAGAAAAATATTAGGTATCAGACGAAAGAATGAGAAAAAGAAAAAAGAAAAGAAAGAAAAGAAAGGTTCAGAACGAAAGAAATGAAGAAAAAGAAAAAAGAAAAGAAAGAAGAAATATTAGGTATCAGACGAAAAGAAATGAAGAAAAGAAAAAAAGAAAAGAAAGAAAGAAAAATATTAGGTATCAGACGAAAAGAAATGAAGAAAAAGAAAAAAGAAAAAGAAAGAAAGAAAAATATTAGGTATCAGACGAAAAGAAATGAAGAAAAAGAAAAAAAGAAAAGAAAAGAAAAATATTAGGTATCAGACGAAAAGAATGAAGAAAAGAAAAAAAGAAGAAGAAAGAAAAAATATTAGGTATCAGACGAAAAGAAATGAAGAAAAAGAAAAAGAAAGAAAATATTAGGATCAAGACAAAAGAAATGAAGAAAGAAAAAAAAGATAGAAAGAAAATATTTGGTATCAGACAAAAAAAGAAATGAAGAAAAGAAAAAGAAAGAAAGAAAAATATTAAGTATCAGACGAAAGAAGAAGGAAAAAGAAAAAAGAAAAGAAAGAAAGAAAGAAAAATATTAGGTATCAGACGAAAAGAAATGAAAAAAGAAAAAGAAAAAAGGAAAAGAAGAAAAATATTAGGTATCAGACGAAAAGAAATGAGAAAAGAAAAAGAGAAAAGAAAGAAAGAAAAATTTAGGCATCAGACGAAAAGAAATGAAGAAAAAGAAAAAAGAAAGAAAGAAAGAAAAATATTAGGTATCAGACGAAAAGAAATGAAGAAAAAGAAAAAAGAAAAGAAAGAAAGAAAAATATTAGGCATCAGACGAAAAGAAATGAAGAAAAAGAAAAAAGAAAAGAAAGAAAGAAAAATATTAGATATCAGACGAACAGAAATGAAGAAAAAGAAAAAAGAAGAAAAAAATAATCAGACGAAAAGAAATGAAGAAAAAGAAAGAAGAAAAGAAAGAAAGAAAAATATTAGGCATCAGACGAAAAGAAATGAAGAAAAAGAAAAAAGAAAGAAAGAAAAATATTAGGTATCAGACGAAAAGAAATGAAGAAAAAGAAAAAAGAAAAGAAAGAAAGAAAAATATTAGGTATCAGACGAAAAGAAATGAAAGAAAGAAAAAAGAAAAAGAAAGAAAGAAAATATTAGATCAGACGAAAAGAAATGAAGAAAAAGAAAAAAGAAAAGAAAGAAAGAAAAATATTAGGCATCAGACGAAAAGAAATGAAGAAAAAGAAAAAAGAAAAGAAAGAAAGAAAAATATTAGGTATCAGACGAAAAGAAATGAAGAAAAAGAAAAAAGAAAGAAAGAAAAAATATTAGGTATCAGACGAAAAGAAAATGAGAAAAGAAAAAAGAAAGAAAAAATATTAGGTATCAGACGAAAGAAATGAAGAAAAGAAAAAGAAAAAGGAAAGAAAAAATATTTAGGCCAAACGAAAAAAATGAAAGAAAAAAGAAAAAAAAAGAAAGAAAATATAGGTATCAGACGAAAAGAATGAAGAAAAAGAAAAAAGAAAGAAAAAAATTTAGGTGTCAGACGAAAAGAAATGAAGAAAAGAAAAAAGAAAAAGAAAGAAAGAAAAATATTAGGTATCAGACGAAAAGAAATGAAGAAAAAGAAAAAAGAAAAGAAGAAAGAAAAATATTAGGTATCAGACGAAAAGAAATGAAGAAAAGGAAAAAAGAAAAGAAAGAAAAATATTTGGTACCCGACGAAAAGAAATAAAGAAAAAGAGAAAAAGAAAGAAAGAAAAATATTAGGTATCAGACGAAAAGAAATAAGAAAAAGAAAAAAGAAAGAAGAAAATTTAGGTATCAGACGAAAGGAGAAAAAGAAAAAAGAAAGAAAGAAAGAAAATATTAGGTATCAGACGAAAAGAAATGAAGAAAAAGAAAAAAGAAAGAAAGAAAGAAAAATATTAGGTATCAGACGAAAAGAAATGAAGAAAAAAAAAAAGAAAGAAAGAAAGAAAATATTAGGTATCAGACGAAAAGAAATGAAGAAAAAGAAAAAAAGAAAGAAAGAAAAATATTAGGTATCAGACGAAAAGAAATGAAGAAAAGGAAAAAAGAAAAAAGAAAGAAAGAAAATATTAGGTATCAGATCTATTACGAATAGACTGAAAATATTTGAATAAGAAATAAATCATCTGACTAAATTTGTGCTTATATATACATGGCTTTTATAACACAAAAAAATCGTATTGAACTTTGCTGATTTTGATATCACATTTTCTCGTTTTTCTCAAAAGCGTCTTGGCAACTTAGCCAGGGTGAGTTGCCATATATACATACATATATACAAACATGTATATATGTGTGTGTGTGTGTGTGTGATATATTATATATATATATATATATATATATATATAAATATATATATATATATATATATATTATATATATATATATATATATATATATATATATATATATATATATATATATATTATATATATATATATATATATATATATATATATTATATATATATATATATATATATATATATATATATATATATATATATATATATATATATATATATATATATATATTATGTATATTATATATATATATATATATATATATATATATATATATATATATATATAATAATATTAATATATATATATATATATATACATACATATATATATATATATATATATATATATATATATATATATATATATATATATATATACATATTATATATATATATATATATATATATATATATATACATATATATATATATATATATATATATATATATATATATATATATATATATATATATATGTATATATATATGTATATATATATATATATATACTGTGTGTGGTGTGTGTGTGTGTGTGTGTGTGTGTGTGTGTGTGTGTGTGTGTGTGTTGTGTGTGTGTGTGTGGTGTGTGTGTGTGTCACAACACATATATTCTTCAGGAAGACACAAATCGAAAAATCAGTTGAAATCCAGCAAGAGCTTAAGATTTGATCATATTCAGTCTGAATTACGTCAAACAGAGCGATATGAACTCTTACCAGACTTTCCAACCTAAAATTACAAACCAAACCGTGCTAGTGCTATTGTTACAAATAAGCAGCAGCAATGTCAAGCTCAAGGTATAAACCATACCCTCGCAAACCATGAGCACAAGCTGTCTCCACGCATCCTCGCAGACACAGACTGACCCGAAGAGGATCTGCAGCCGTGTCTGAAAAGCCTCCAAGCCAGCTTATCAGACCAGGAAGAACCGCCGTTGAACAGATCGTCTGCCTTGAACAACTTACCGAGACGCTCATCGAATGCAGTGTTCCTTCTGCAACGTCGGTCAAGTGAGGCGTTGGTTTTGGTCGGCCACTAAAAGGCGTGTACGTCAAGGGGACTTTTTTGGTTCCTTCGTGGTTTTTAAGTATCGTTTGCCACCTGGAGGGGGAGGGTGGGGGGGGGGGGGCGGACCAGCCTTTGTGGGTGCCGGTCCCAAGCCCGGATAGAGAGGGTTGGTGTCAGGAACGGCATCCGGCTGTGAAAACCCAAGCCAAAACCAATATGGAATGAGACAGACAGACAGACACACAGAGAGAGAAAGAGAGACAGCATACAGACTGTAAAAACCCAATGCCAAAACCAGTATGGAATGAGACAGACAGACAGACACAGAGAGAGAAAGAGAGACAGCATACAGACTGTAAAAACCCAATGCCAAAACCAGTATGGAATGAGACAGAGAGAGAGAGAGAAAGAGAGACAGCATACAGACTGTAAAAACCCAATGCCAAAACCAGTATGGAATGAGACAGACAGACAGACAAAGAGAGAGAGAATAAGAGGCATACAGACTGTAAAAACCCATGCCAAAGCCAGTATGGAATGAGACAGACAGACAGACAGAGAGAGAGAGACATACAGACTGTAAAAACCCATGCCAAAACCAATATGGAATGAGACAGACAGACAGAGAGAGAGAGAGAGAGACATACAGACTGTAAAAACCCATGCCAAAACCAATATGGAATAAGTCAGACAGACAGACAGACTGTAAAAAACAATGCCAAAACCAATATGGAATGAGACAGACAGACAGAGAGAGAGAGACATACAGACTGTAAAAAACCCAAGCCAAAACCAAAGTGGAATGAGCCATAATAGGAAAATCAGTGGAGGCGGCTCATCCATAACGGCGACCCCACACAGAAATGGCAGAAAGCTGAGAAGAAGAAGATGGATATTAAACATGGTTGTTTTAGTCCGGATGGAAAAGGCCGCGAGAGAAGTAACATTTTGGAATTTTGGTATGAAGGAAGGTAAAAATTCAAGGTTTAATTTTAGCGGATAATGAATGCAGAATCTCATCTATGGGAAAAATTCAAGGTTTAATTTTAATTTAATTTTAAGGTAAAAATTCAAGGTTTGATTTTAGAGTACAGTGAATGCAGAATCTCATCTATGGCTAATGACAGCAATCGCCAATGCCAAAAAAACAGTAAAAATATATATAAATGGTGTTTCCTATAGCTATAGCAGGAATAGGTCCGTCAATAAACATAATGAAAAACCATAATAGTTCAAATTTAATGCTAAGATATATTGACTCAAACATTAACTCGTAAAAAAGGTTTGTGAAAGGTGCATAAAGTGCTTCTCGATGAGGCAATAGACATCATGGCGTGTGTGTATATATATATGTGTGTGTATGTCTGTGTCTGTGTGTGTGTGTGTATGTGTGTGTGTAAATGTGTGTATGTATAGCATATCCTTGGAGGAACATGCATGCAAAACTGCGGCAATATATACACAGGTCAAACAGAATAACCAGTTTTATTATCATCATATCACCGTTTTATTCTCTGCTCTATCCTCTCCCATCCCGCAGCCCTGAAACTACACACATAGCACCGAAGTTATGACTCGCACACCATAAATATAGTGCTATAAGTATTATGCAAATGGGGGGAGACTTATCGACCTACTCCCCAACCCCCTCCTTCCTCCTCTTACCTCCCCCCCCTCCTTCCTCTTCTCACCCCCCAAACTTTTCCCCCTAATACCTCCCTTCCTCCTCTCATTCATCCCTCCTTCTCCTCCTCTCACCCCCCCCTCCTTCCTCCTCTCACCCCCCCCCCCCGCCCTCCTTCCTCCTCTCATCCCCCCCGCCCTCTCTCTTCCTCCTCTCACCCCCCCCCGCCCTCCTTCCTCCTCTCACCCCCTCCTCCTTCCTCCTCTCGTCTTTCTCCTCTCGTCCCCCTCCTTCCTCCTCTCACCCCCCTCGCCTTCCTTCCTCTCTCAACCCCCCCCGCCGCTTCTTCCACCTCTCCTCCTCGCTTCCTCCTCTCACCCCCCACTGCCCTCCTTCCCCTCTCACCCCCCCCTCTTCCCTCTTCAAAACTCTCACCTCCCTCCTTTCTCCTATACTCCCTCTTCTATTCCTTCCTCCTCTCACCCCCTCCTTCCCCCTTCCTCCTCTCACCCCCCTGCCCCCCCCTTCCTCCTCCTCACTCCACCCCCTTCCTTCCTCCTCCTCCCCCCTCCTTCCCCTTCCTCCCTCTCCCCCCCCTCCCTCCTTCTCCATCAACTCCTTCTCCTTCCTCCTATCACCCCCTCCTTCCTCCTCTCACCTCCCCCCTTCCTCATCTTCTACCCCCTCCTTACTCTCTCACCCCGCCCCCCCCTGCCTCCTCCTCCTCTCTCCCGCCCTCGCCTCCTTCCTCTTTTCAACCCCTCCCCCTCCATCCTCCTCCTCTCACCCCGTCCTCCTTCCACCTCTCACCCCCCCCCGCCCCCTCCTTCTCCTCTCCCCCCACCATCTCCTCCTCTCCCCCCCCGTCGCCATTCTTCCTCCTCTCAACCCCCTCGGCTCTTCCTTCCTTCCCACGCCCATCTCCCTCCTCTCCCTCCCCTCCCCCATTTCCCCCACTATCCCCTCTAATCCCCTCCAGTATGTGCACGTATTAACCACACAGCTCATGACCTGCCTCGCCTGCTAGCTTTGAGAGGCAGGGCTACTCCTCACCTCTGATTACAGTGTGAAATTCTCCCTTTGTTTACCTGTGTCATCTTAGTGCGTGTCACTCTCTCGTCGTGTGAATGTGGCTTTTGGGTTATTCGTCTTTCTCTCTGCTATTCGCTTATATATGTGTGTGTGTGTGTGGTGTGTGTGTGTGTGTGTGTGTGTGTGTGTGTGTGTGTGTGTGTGTAGGTGTGTGTGTGTGTGTGTGTGTGTGTGTGTGTGTGTGTGGTGTGTGTGTGTGTGTGTGTTGTGTGTGTGTGTGTGTGTATAGGTGTGGTGTGTGTGTGTGGTGTACATGCATACACTCATATATATGTGTGTGTGTGTGTCTGTGTGTGTGTGCAGTAAAAAAGGATTCTTGCAGTTTATGCCCGATGATATTCTCTCTCTCTCTCTCTTCTCTCTCTCTCTTCTCTCTTCTCTCTCTCTCTCTCTCTCTCTCTCTCTCTCTCTCTCTCTCTCTCTCTCTCTCTCTCTCTCTCTTGCCTATCTCTTTCTCTCTCTATCTATTCTCTTTCTCTCTCTCTCTCTCTCTCTCCTCTCTCTCTCTCTCTCTCTCTTCCTCTCCTCTCTCTCTCTCTATATATATATATATATATATATATATATATATATATATATATATACTATATATATATATATATATATATATATATATATATATATGTATATGTATATGTATATATATATGTATGCATGTATATAATATGTAGATAGACTGATAGATAGATAAAAAAAGAGCTAAAGCAGATAGATAGCTAGATAGATAGATATTGATTAGATGTAAATACAGATAAAGATACTAGTACAAATGCATATTCATGACCTTATATGCATATACATACACTTTTGCGCATTTACAACCATATACATGTAGATATGCCTCTCTCTCTCTCTCTCTCTCTCTCTCTCTCTCTCTCTCTCTCTCTCTCTCTCTCTCTCTCTCTCTCTCTCTCTCTCCTCTCTCTCTCTCTCTCTCTCCTCTCTTCACACACACACCGCACACACACACACATAACATACACACACACACAACTCACACACACACACACACACACACAGCATAATTAGCGAAAAGTACAGCCACAACGAAAGGGGGGATAATGAGGAAAACAGGGTAAAATCAATAAAGAGGAAGAAGGGGAAGGAGGGGAGAGCAGAGAGAGAGAGAGAGAGAGAGAGAGAGAGAGAGAGAGAGAGAGAGAGAGAGAGAGAGAGAGAGAGAGAGAGAGAGAGAGAGAGACAGACAGACAGACAGAGAGAGCGAGACAGAAAGAGACAGAGAGAAAGAGATAGAGAGAGAGAGAGAGACAGAGACAGAGATAGATAGAGAGAGAGAAAGAGAGAGAGAGAGACAAAGAGAGACAAAGACAGAGATAGCGTTAGATAGACAGACAGAGAGAGAAAAAGATAAGGAAAATGAGAATTAGAGAAGTCCACTTTCAACGGAGGAAAGAAGGAAACTTAAAAAAGGACAACAAATCGTGAAAGAGAGAAAGAGAAAAAAAGGAAAACGAAAAATTAAACAATAACAAACGAAAAAAAAACAGACGTTTAAATAACCGAGAGCCAAAGTAATTGTTCTCAAGAATCCGACATTGTTCTTTAACATATAGAAATAAGGAGAAGAAAAAAGAAATAACAAAGAATTGACAGACAGCTCGATAGACAGACAGACAGGCGGACTGACAGACAGACAGGCGGACTGACAGACACCCAAACAGAGCGACGAATGAGGAAGAAGAAAGGATGTTGAATGAATAGAGACAAGAATAAAGAAATAAAGATTCTTGGTCTTTATGATACGTCATGATATGATATGATATAAAAAAGAAAAAAAGGAGACAGAGGAGAAGGAGAGAAAGAAAGAAAAAAAGGAAAAAACAATGAATAAGAAACAAGAAAGGGAGATGACGAACCTAAAGAATAAATAGAGATAAGAATTAAAAGATTAAAAATTCTTGGTCTTTATGATACGCGATGTAGTGGTTGGGTGACGTAGAAAGAGGGAGGAAGGGGGAAGAAAGATAAAAAGGAAGAGAAGAAAGGTGGGGGAGAGAGAAAGAGGGAGGGAGAGAAATAAAAAGAGAAGGAGAGAGAAAGAGAGGGAGAGAAAAAAGAAAAGGAGAGAGGAAGAGGGAGAGGAGAGAGAAAGAAAGAGGAGAAAGAAAGAGACGGAGAGAGAGAATAGGAACAGGGGAGAGAAAGAAAGAGAGAAGGCAAGATAAACGCAGAGAGAAAGAGAGAGACAGACAGACACAAAGACAGAGAGGAAGAGAGAGACAAGAAAGACTGATAAATGAATCGCAGAGTGGAAATTAGGGTAAAGGAG